GGACCGATCGCGGAAGGATCGTATGGAATACCGAATGGATGCATGAGAGATTGAGTAAGGGATCAACCTTATTCATTACCAAAGATCGTTCGTACCGTGCGCATTAAATGCAGGAGGATCCAAAAATCACACATCTAATGGTGGCCATAATGCAGGGACACATGTCGCGATCCGGATGATAAATTATCCTACAATTAGATTGCATAGTACAAAGCATTAAATGCTGAATGACTAAATATCAAAATGATATCTTGTACTACAAGAAAATAGGAAAATAAAATCCCAAAGAGGATTTAACAAGCCCTCACACTATAAAAGGAAGAAGACACAACATTAAATGCAATGAGTAAATGCTCACATTAATGATATAAAATCACGAATAGAACATCAATCCATACCAATTCTCCTGTATAACTATATTCTTGCAGACCGAACAGAATATACATTCTAGTATATAGTTCGAATTATTGTTGGTCAAATTTTAGACATCAACACTATTATAATAACTTATCGCTTTTAGAATGTTATTCCAATGTTATAACAAAGTTAAATTTAATGATAGACAATAATAAATAAGAGAATCTAATTTTAATTAAAACATAGGTAAAATACTAACATAAATTTACAAAAAACAATATAGAAGTATATAATTTTAAGAATTTTAACAAAAAAAAAAAAAAATCATATAAGTATGTGAATTATTATTCTCTTGGAAGTAATCAACTGCAATCATAGTTATGCATGATTAATTGATTGCTTGTTGAATTAAGTGAACATTTTTTTTTTTAATTTTTTTTTAACATTTCATTTAATAAAGTATTCATATATATGCATGTACACTAAAGTCCAAAGAATGTTAATTAGTAAAAATTGGTCTATTTTTTTGGTCTCTTTAATCAACCTTTACAAAAAGTTTAATTAGTCGTCGGTCCTCAATTATTTTATTAATTTCAAGTAACAGAGCAAACGCAATCAAAAAGTTTAAAGGCTAATTAAATCTTTATTATAAAATAAATTAATCATTTCGAGCAGAAATTCTATAGAGCCAGCGACGATGTGCCGACACATTTTTAAAATTAAATTATTTTAAAATGTATGTCAATACACTTATTGTATATAATTGTTAAATATGACTTCCAATGAAACTTTTATTATGAGTTTTAGGTAATAAGTGATTAATTTGAAAATAAATTTAATTTCAAAGCACTTGTTTGACTAGTTGAACATTTTAATTTTAATCATATCGTATGGGAAAGGAAATTTAAATTATTGGGAAATTGCCTTTAGCCGATCAAGATGCTAATTTTGGGAAGTTATTATTATTATTATTATTTTTTTTTGGTAGAAAGGAAAGAGGCAAGAGCCTAAAACCGTTATACTCGGCGGGTAAAAAATACCAATGAAGTCATATTGTGATCACGGTTTAACTGCCAATGGTGGATTTGATAGCCGTTGATAACCACTATTTAGTCGGCAATAAATTATTTTTTAAAAGTTAAACGGAACAATTGAATAATCAACCTATTCAAATATTAAATGTTAGTACAACACCCGTGTATTACACGGGTGTTTGCTAATTTTTTCTTAAAATCTGAAATTAATAAAAAAGTAATTGAAAATTTCAATACATTTTATAAAAATATATATATTATTATATATTTAGTATGACACTTTTTTATTTGTTCGACTTACCTGTGTTATATTATAATATATTTTTGACTTACAACATATAACTACATTAAACATAAATATATCAATTGAGAAATAATTTTATTATTCTAATGAATTTTAATAAATATTATTATTTATTATTATTATAAAGATAAATATGATTTATTTATTTCATATATACAATATGTATGTCAAATCGAAGATCATCAAAAGATGATTAATTTGATATATTATATATGTAAAACCGATAAGAAATACACAAGTTACCAACTTTTAAAATACATTTACGATTCAATAGCTAATTGAAGGAAACAAATCAAAAGTCATGGATATATTAGTCACTTAGTGTCTCACTATGTAAAATTACAAAGAATTAAAGGGTTATATTAGTAAAAGTGATATTAAAATACCTAACTTAGCTAAATAATATTTATGGAATGTTCGAACCTAGATTATTAATTATTAATATATATATCAATATTATTTGTCCAAACCTAATTACGAAGCATGATTCTTCGCCAAATAGGATTCCGAAGCAACAGAAACAGCCACGTAGGCTCAGCGCATTCGGGAATAATATATAAGGGGGATTAATTAAAAAAAATTATTTATAACTTTTCATGATTTTGGTTAGATAATTTAGTGAAATCTGTGTATATTGTAAAGAGAACTAACTCCACATTAATAGATATATTAAAGATTCTCAATTGTTAATATATCAATTATTAAGCTTTTCATAAATTTTTTCATGCAAACTATATATATCGTTAATTAGACACTTCATTAATATATCTATATCCATGTATTATAAAAGAAAAAAATCTATTTATATAATGTCATTTACAACAAGAATTTCAATAATTGCTAATAATTTATTTTCTTATATGACTGAATTTAAACTTTATTTAATCTTATTATAATTAATTAATTTGACCTTGTTCGTGAACAAGTATGGATAAAAGAGTAATATAGTGATGTTTCTTTTTGAGTAAAAGTACATCATATATATAAATTTAATAATAAATAAAAAATTTATTAAATTTTTAATATATTTAAATTTTTACTATATTTAGGAAAAACTAAATCGAAATAAAAGTCTAAATTTAGTAAACCATTAAATTTAGATGAATAAAAAAATACACAAACCATTTCATTGCCAGGTGTAATTCTTAAATTAGATGAATAATTAAAAACAAAAAATTAATTAATTAAAAACAAAAAATCTTATACTAACAATTAGTAATAAATTTTAAGGAATCTATTTATATACTTAAGGAATCAATAAATTCCAAATTTTGTATGATAAAATAATAAATAAATTAAAACAACTGTAGCAATATTCTCGGTGTTTTGGTAGGCAGACAAACGGGCAAAATACGTTTGTCACATGGCAAATCCAACTAAGTGTTCATTTGCTTTTTAATATATATAT